GGTTGTTTTAATGTAAGACACTGTATTGAAACCATTCATTTATGGATTAATTAATTTTGTGAAAAATTATCATTCACTCCATTACTATTTAATTGTGGTTTAGAATTAAATAATGAGTCCATTCAATTTATGGAAATATTCAAAACAGGGTATCAAGTCCATGTCTTGGATAAACAAACACCTGTGAAGTTAACATTGAATATTTAAATAAAAAATTATCCCTAATCGAGGTCATCTAAATAATGAACGATTGATGACCACCAGAGATTAGTGTGTAGTATGATTTACAGCACCGTTTCTTGTGCTGCAAGGACATGATGGTCATAAATCATTTGCACAGGTCCCAGTTTGGAACTGCATTGGATCGACCTATGAGAGTACATTAAGAGATTCAAAAATTATCATATGTACATTTCTCATTATAGCAATCGGAACTCGTTTCCTCGACCATGAGTATTGTGAAGTTTTCTTGTTTGAGTACTAGTCTCTTTGATGTTGCCTAACGTCTGCCGTAACTGGGTATCATAACGGGAATACTCAGGCGCTTAGGTCCTCTTAGTAAGAGAAACTTACAGTGCAAGACTGGGAATGTCCCCCCACTAACACTAGGGAACATGTCTTTGTTGTTTACAAGGCCGCTCGAAGAGTGAAACTGTGAAAATTCATGGCCATGCTCAGATGGATTTTAGAAATCATCTGCTTATTGACAGTCGAACTCGGAGATTGAGAAACCCTTCTGAACGTAATAAGGACATGGGCTATACATTGTATGCACACTTGTCCGGAAGGACAAGTGGGAGATTGAAAGGAATGGTGTCCTTCCAACAAGTGTATTATTCTAATAGAAAGTTCAGAATTATTACAGAGCTAATTCTTCAGTAAGGTCAAGTGATCGGAATGCCTAGGTGGAGGCCGCTTCCGATCAGTAATATTAAGGTATAATTAATATTACAGCTTAATCTTAACTGAACCATACGGGTCGAACCCAATCGAGCAACCGATCCGAGACGACGAATTAATCCGAAGGATTTAATGAGTTGACGGAGTTTTACGAATATAGACGTCGAATATTGAGCCTAGGGCGTCGAGAATGAGCGTCGCAAAATCACAAGCAACAAGTATGAGCATAGCCGTAGCATCACATTGGCCTAGCCATGTGAAGTGCTAGGCTAGGCTAGCCCATTGCAAGCCTAGGTGCACCATGTGTGTGCTAGGCGCACCATGGTGTGCTAGGCGCGCCATACATGCTAGGCGCACTAGGCTGCCCATCGCAGAACCATGTGCGTGTGTGCGTGCCTTCGCATGGCACATCATCACAACATGCGTGCTTGGGTGCCTAGGCACTATCGCAACCCATCGCACTATCGCATGGCTTGGCCTGTGCGTGTGTGCGTTTGCTTGTGCCTAGGCCTGTCGCACCATCGCTGCACGCATCATAACACCATCGCAGTGCTGGGCACTTGCGTGTGTGTGCGTATGCGTGTTCTTATGCCTAGGGCCATCGCAAGCCATCACAGCATCACAACACCAAGCTTAGCATGCTTGTGCGTGTGGCTGGCGAGGCGATGCCCAGCATGCGTGGCTCGCTAGCAGCGCGCATGCTGGGAAGTGCGAGGGGCCTTGCGTGTGCGATGGTGAGAGAGGCAAGGGGCCAGCACTAACTAGCAACGCCCAGTGCCTAGCAAGCAGCGTCGTAGACATCACCCAGCACAGCAGCATGCTGCGCGCATGGCTGGCTGGGTTGATGCTTGCTGCCTTGTGCTGGCTGGCTGGTCTAGTTGGAAATGCTAGCTGACGTGCTAGCTTGCAGCAGCCCAGCAGCCCCTTGATGCCGGTTTTGTGAGGGGTGGGGACCAAGGCTTGGGCAAAGCCTTGGGGTGCAAGGCAATGGTCCCCCACCTATTAATGGTCCTCACCTAACCCTCTCTCTCCCCTTGACACTTGTTGCATTGTGATTGCATTTAATTAATTATTTAATTTAGAATTAAATAAATTAATGCTTTTGCACATGATCCCACATTGATCATGAAATGGGATTCAAGTTTCCATTCTCTATTAATACCCACTTGGTTGGGATTTTCACAACACTTGCGTGGAAAAGTAAAGGCAACTTCATTGTTGAGTATACTTTGAAATTCGTAAAGCTCCAAGTTTATATTTGTCCGGGCCTCGACTAACCTTCTGTAGGGTTTCGTAGTGACCCGACACTACGTGGAAGGAAACCCCCAAAGACCCGCCCCTTAATTAAAGCAATTAACAAGCGTAATAAATTTAATCAAACAAGACTAAGAACAAGAATTATACCTTTGTTACGTGCTTCCCTCCCGAAGAGCTCTTACTTCAAAATTCCGAAACTACAAGATCTCAGACGGATCGTACCCTCGACCTGACTCGAGCGTCCTAAGTCTTGAAGGTTAGTCAAGACCCGGACATAACAAAACTATGAGTTTTACGAATCAAAGGTTTACTCTAATTATAAGAGTTGCCTTTTTAATTCCACTCAAGGTTGTGTATTTCCCAATACCATGCCTTTGGTATTTATAGGGAAATGCACCCTTGATTTCCAATCTCCCATCAATGTGGTAGAGTTGGTAAAAATCAACAATTTATTTAATTCAAAATTAAATAATTAATCAACTTAATCACATTGCGACAAGTGGCACAATCATATGCAAATGAGTGATCGCCAAGGCTAAGAGGGGGGACAATTTGCCTTGCTCTCCAAGGCCCTTGATTGGTCCCCACATGCATGCACAAAATCGGGTCAAGGAGGGCTAGCTGACTGCCAGCTAGCGTGCCAGCTAGTGCTGCAAGCTAGCACTGCCTTGCTGCCCAGCATCCCAGCTAGCTAGTGCATGCTGGTGCTGGGTTGTGCTGGTGCTGGTGCTTTGTGCTACTGCCTGGCGCTGGCCCCAGCATCCCACGCCCCATACGCATCCCCGTTGCACCTCTCGCACATGCTCGCATAGCCAGCATGCGTGCTGCTAGCGAGCCACGCATGCTGGCCCCTTTCCTTGCACCATATGCGTCAGCCCTGTAGCACCTCTCGCACATGCACTAGCATCTACGCACCAGCCTCACGCAACACGCTCCAGCCTTGCACCATATACACTAGCCACACACCATGCGCACTAGTCACGCACAACACGCATCAGCCTTGCACCACGCACAAAGCATTGCTAGCCCAGCTAGTGCGCCTATGAGTGCTGGGCGATGCTACGAGGCATCCACGCACTAGCACATGTGCTAGTGCCTAGAATTGGCTATGCTTGGTGTTGTGGCTCTGCCATGCGCGCCCAGCATAGTGCTAGGGCTGCGATGGTGCCCAAGCATCCTAGGGCACGCATGGTGCGCCTAGAGATGTTGTTTGGGATGCGATGGTGCCCAGCCATCCTAGGGCACGCATGGTGCGCCTAGAGATGTTGTATGGGCTAGGATGGGCTGTGATGAGCTGCGATGGTGCGCCTAGCACACCTAGTGTGCTAAGGCTTGCGCCTAGCCATGCTAGGTGCATGCTAGCTCAAACTAGCCTAGCATCCACATGGCTAGGCCAGTGTGGTGCTAGGGCTACGTTCATACTTGTTGCTTTGTGATTTTGCGACGCTCGGTGTCGACGCCCTAGGCTCGATATCCGACGTCTGTATTTGTAAAACTCTGTCAACTTATTAAATCCTTTCAGATTAATTCATCGTCTCGGATCGGTGATTCGATTGGGTTCAACCCGAAGGGTTCAATTAAGATTAAGATGTAATATCAATTGTACCTTAATATTACTGATCGGAAGCGGGCTCCACCTAGGCATTCCGATCACTTGATCTTACTGAAGAATTAACTCTTTAATAATTCTGAACCCTCTATCAGAAGAATACACTTGTTGTAAGGAAACCATTCCTTTCACCTTCGAGGCTTAGGACGCTCGGGTCAGGTTCGAGGGTACGATCCCGTCGGAGGCCTCGTATTTTTGGGGTTCAAGTATAGCTCATTGTTGAGCGAAGCACGCGTCAGAGGTATAATCTTTTATCCTTTCTTGTGTTTTAATTATGTTTTTCTTGTTAATTGCATTTATTATGGGGGCGGGTCTTGGTGGGTTTCATTCCGCGTAGTGTGGTCACTACGACACCCTACAAGAAATTGCTTCAAATTTTATTGAAACAAAAGAAAAAGTGAAATATACCAACATAAAATGATCACACTCCACTCCATTAGCCCTTTTCGACAAATCAACAATGGAGCCCCAAAAGAAATCCGTGAGAAAACGCCCCATAGCAAGCCTTGAGTTGTAGAATTTCCGGATTTTTGATGAGGAAATCGAAGGAAAGTGGAGAAATTTGATGATTTTATGATGAATTTGTGATGAAAGTTGATGAATTTGTGAGGTTTGAAAGTTAGGGTTTGAAGGGGATGAAGCTAGAGAGAGAATGAAGGAGGAGGATGTCGAATTGGGAAAATAAGAGTATGCAAAAATGCTGTTAAAACTTCAGAGAAAATCGCAGACCCGCAGTGCCGCGCCCTCGGGTTTATATGTCGTGCCCGCGACACGTAGATCGCGCACGCTCTTAGGGCGCGGCTAGGCATCTCAAGAATGTTTTTTTGGGGGGGGGGCTTCCTCTTCCTGTCCGCGCCCGCGGCAGCTAGGGCAGCGCTTGCGGGTTTATGTGCCGCGCCCACGGGCCTTTGGAGAAAGCTTTTCCTTGGTGTGCTTCCCCTTATAGCTCTTGAGACATAAAATTCCACCCTTCCTTCTTTCATAATTCTATCTTTACTCTTCAAAAGAACTCCCTTGAGGTGAAAACATCCTCAAACCTTAATCCACAAAAGGATTGCCCAAAAATTCAAATACCTACTAAATAACAACCAAAGACCATAAGACACAAACACTTAAAAGAGATCAATCAAAATCGACTAAATAAAGGAAATAAAGAAATTCAAGAGTTGAGAACTCGGGTTGCCTCCCGAGAAGCGCTTGTTTACGAGGTCATTAGCTTGACCATGAGAAATTATCATCCAAAGGGTGGCTCAAGATCCATCAGATCAAGCCTCATACATTCAATCAAACCAACTTCTTCCTTGCAAAAGTAGTGCTTCAAACGATGGCCATTAACCATGAACTTGTTGTCACCCACCTCCAACTCAAAAGACCCATAAGGAGTAGTCCTTGAAATCACAAAAGTCCCAGACCATTTTGATTTGAGCTTTCCGGGAAACAAACGAAGCCTAGAGTTGAACAACAACACCTTGTCTCCAACCGTGAAGATCTTGTTCCTTATATGTTTGTCGTGCCATTTCTTGGTTTTCTCCTTGTATAGCCTTGAGTTCTCGTAGGGATCATATCGAAGCTCCTCAAGTTCATTGAGCTTGAGCAATCTCTTCTCACCGGCCAACGACATATCCATGTTAAGCTCCTTGAATTCCCACCAAGCTTTATACTCCAACTCAACCGGCAAATGACAAGTCTTCCCATAGACCAACCAATAGGGGGTTGTACCAATTGGAGTCTTGTACGCCGTCCGCAAGGCCCGAAGTGTATCGTCAAGCTTGAGGGACCAATCCTTCCTAGACTTGTTCACCATCCTTTCATGAAGGTTCTTGATCTCTCTATTTGACTCCTCCACTTGTCTTTGAGTTTGAGGATGATAGGGTAGACCAACTTTGTGATGAACTCCGTACCTCTTGAGAAGAGCCTCGAATTGCTTCTTGGCGAAATGAGAACCTCCATCACTAATTAGCACCTTAGGAACCCCAAACCGCGAAAATATGATTTTCTTGAGAAGCTTAAGCAAAAAGTTATGATCATTGGTAAAGGAGGGTATAGCTTCAATCCACTTAGTCACATAGTCCACTACTACCAAGATGTATAAATTCCCACATGAAGTAACGAAAGGCTCCATAAATTCGACACCCCAAACATCAAAAGGCTCAACCTCCAAAATGTTTCGTTGAGGCATTTCATCTCTTTTGGTTATGCCACCACTTCTTTGGCACTTGTCGCATCCTGAAACAAACTTTTAAGCATCCTTATGCGTCGTCGGCCACCATAGAAGAGATTGAGAAATCTTTGCCACCGTCTTATCAACTCCCCCATGTCCTCCACATGGCAACGTGTGACAAAGCTCAAGAACTCCTTCGATTTCATGGTACGGAACACATTTCCAGTAAAGGTCATCTCCACACTGTATAAACAAGTAGGGGTCATTCCAAAAGTACCTCCTCACTTCCTTGAAAAACCTCTTCTTTTGTTGTGAAGAGAACTCCGGGGGAATGACCCCGCAAGCAAGATAATTGGCTATATCCGTATACCATGTGATTAGGGGATTTTTATCCACCAATCACCGTCTGACAAGTGGACCAACCAGGTTCCGCCACGGGTCCTTCACGAAGGCCAATAGGAGCCTGCCACGTGTCAATCACAGATACGTCCTCTACGGACCAATCAAAGCACGCCACGTGTCCACCCATGCCAAATGGGAAAACCGGCCATCAAGGCCCAATCCAGTCTAGAGGCCCGATCAGCCCTAGGTTTACCTTAAACCTAGAGAGTGGCACGCTTCTCAAGGCTATAAATACTTAATTAATCCTCATTAGTTAAGGAATCGAGAAATCAAGAAATCAAGCAGAGAAGAACAGAAATATTACGGAACACCAACAACCGGCTAATCTCGCTAACGACGCAGATTACCAACATTAAGCACTCTCACCTAGAGAGATCTTAGTACTTTAATTTCCGTATTAATAACTCCTTAATCAGGTACTAACTTGACCGTTGGAGGCGGAGCTCTCAGGAGTCTCCGTTATTTTGCAGGTACAGGCGTCCGGTTCCAGTCTCGGAATTGTAACTCTCCCGCAGGACATCAGAAAACCCCGAAACACCATGGGCTATATGTTGAAGCCATATCCATGAGAGTTTTAAATCCTACTTCTTCATTGATTGGTACATCCTCTTTGTTCTCAAAAGGAAGCCTAGACAAATGATCCGCCACATATTTCTCCGCTCCCTTTTTATCTCTCATCTCCATGTAAAAATCTTGATGCGAAAGAACCCAACAGATGAGGCGTGGCTTAGCTTCCTTCTTGGTCATAAGATAGCAAACCGCTATGTGATCTTTGTACACAATCACCTTGGGGAAAATAAGATAGGACCTAAACTTGTCCATGGCAAACACAACCGCAAGCATTTCCTTCTCCGTTGTTGTGTAATTTTTTTTAGCTTCATCAAGTGTTCTACTTGCATAGTAGGTGACATGAGATCTTCCTTCTTTCTTTTGCCCAAGCACCGCACCTACTGCATAATCACTCGCATCGCACATTAGCTCAAAAGGCAAGCTCCAATCCAGAGCTTGCACAACGGGAGAGGAAATGAGAGCTTCCTTGAGTTTTTGAAATGCCTCAAGATAAGCCTCATCAAAGCTAAACACAACATCTTTCTTGAGTAATTCGGTCAAAGGTTTGGCAATTAATGAAATTTTTTTGATAAACCTCCAGTAAAAACCGACATTCCCTAGAAAAGCTCTCACTCCCGTAACGGAAGTAGGAAGGGGCAACTTTGCAATCACCGAAACTTTGTTCGAGTCAACCTCAATGCCCTTCTTTGACACTTTATGGCCTAGGACAATTCTCTCCTCAAACATAACGTGACATTTCTCCCAATTTAAAACCAAACTTGTCTCTTTACACCATTTCAAAAAAAAATTCAAGATTATAAAGGCAAGTGTCTAAAGACGAGCCACCAACACTAAAATCGTCCATAAAAACTTCAATCTCATTTTCAAGCATTTCTGAAAAAATGGAAGTCATGTACCGTTGGAATGTAGAAGGAGCATTGCATAACCCGAATGGCATTCTTTGGTACGCAAATGTTCCATATGGACTTGTGAAAGTAGTTTTCTCTTGGTCATCTGGGTGGATAAGGATTTGGAAAAATCCGGAATATCCATCCAAGAAACAAAAGAAAGCATGGGTGAGAAAGTCTCTCTAAAATTTGGTCCATGAAGGGGAGAGGAAAATGATCTTTCTTTGTATTTTTGTACAACCTCCTATAATCAATACACATTCTCCACCCGGTCACCGTCCAGGTGGAGATTTCCTGTCCTCCTTCTCTCGTGACGATGGTCGTTCCACCTTTCTTTGGAGCCACGTGAACCAGGCTAACCCACTTGCTATCGGAGATAGCATAAATTACGCCCGCTTCACACAATTTCAAGATTTCCTTCACAAAACAACAAGCAATTTTTCAAAATCAAGACCATCAAGGGTAGCATTGACAATAATAGGGTATTCCCCTTCATTTCCAAGATAAGCATACTTCAAAGAGGGGGGAAGGGGCTTGAGTTCTACCTTGGGAGGAGGCTTGGAACTCTCCTCTATTTTCTCCTCTAGTTCAAGCTCTTCTTTATCTTCTTGTTGTTCATGGTCTTCCTCCATTAGGGTTTTTTATATGGCCATGAAAAACTCTTTTGCTTCTTGAGAGTGATACTCTTCCTTGCATGTAAGAGCTTCAACCATTGGATCTTGAGGCGTCATCATAACCTTTCCCAAATGATCCAACTCCTCATTCACAACATCAACCCTATAGGATTTTTTGACCATGGGGGTCTTGAGCAACTTAGGGAACTCAAACACAATATTTTCATCGACAACCTCACATGTAATGGTGTTGTTCTTGCAATTGATCACCGCCCCCAAAGTCTTAAGAGATTCACGACTCAAAATCAAAGCAGTATCAACATCATCTTCCATACCCGTCACTACAAAATCACAATGCACATAAATATGCCCAACTTGAATAGGAACATCTTCAAGCTCACCACAAGGTAACTTCATCTAACGGTCGGCTAATTGGATAGTCTTCCTTGTAGGGAACATTTCAATGTTAAGCTTTTGAGCAACTGATAGAGGAATCAAACTAACACTCGCCCCAAGATCGGCTAAGGCACCCCTACACTAGTAGAAAAAATGAAATAGGCATCACACTTTTCGCACCGGTTCTTGAAAACCGGTGGGAAAAGAAATGGGCAGGATTGAGAAAATGACTTTTCGCATCGGTTCCTAAGAAACCGGTGCGAAATCATCTTTTTCGCACCGGTTTGAACCGGTGCGAATTTAAAAAGAAAAAAAAAATAAAAAAAAGGGAGAAAGGGATTTCGCACCGGTTCAGACCAAACCGGTGCGAAATAGTGATTTAGCACCGGTTCAAACTGGTGCGAAATTTTAAAAAAAAAAATCGGCCTGCCCTTCTTCTTCTTTCCCTGTTTCATTCTCTTTCCCGTTCTTTTTTCATTTCCATTCTCTCTTCTCTCTCCTCATATGATCTACTCTCTCTCCTCCATTAAAACGAATCACGTTGTACTCCTTCCTCTCTCTGTACTCCTTTATATCTTTCTGGTTGTACTCCTTCCTCTCTCTCTCCTCCATTTAAGCGTTACTCAAAATTCTCCATTGAAGGGGCTTCTGAGCTTTCTCTCCTCCATTGAAGCAGTTTCCAAGGTTGGATGCTTATTTTTCTTTAATCATCTAATATTAATTTTGACAATCTAGTGTTAATCGTGTATTTAATTGTCAATATATACTTAATTTAGGGTTATTCAAATTCGGTTAATTGAACTATTGGTTATAGAAAGTCGAAGAATTTAACGTAATTTTTGGAGTCTAGTTTGATAATTGAGTCAATTTTGGTTGCTAATTTGTGAATAGTAGTTTATTTCTTTTATTTTATAGGAAAAAACAAATTCACAAATTCTAGGGGTAGGGGAATGGTTTCAGGGGTAGGGGTTTCAAGGGCTGGGGCTGGGGCGGGGGCGGGGGTTCTATTGCGCTCATGTGGCTCTGGAAGGAGGGTGGTTTCGGTGGTGGTGTAGGGGAGGGGGTGGCTGTCAGGGCTGGGCCGGGGAGTGGTTGTCGGGCTGGGTGGGGAATTGTTTAATTAATTTTTTTGATTTTAGGGTTTGTGAATTTTAATTAGATAATTGAATTTCTTTTAGATTTTGGGATTTCATTGTTGTATTATCGAAGTTAATTTGTTGGATTTTAGGGATTTTTGAATTCAAATCAAACGAGTAAGCAATTTAATTTTTAGTTTGAATTTAAATTTTATTTATTTGTAATTTTATGTAATTGAGATTGGATGAAATCAGTGTTTTAGTGATAATTCGATGAAATTAGGATGAAATCAGTTTTGGGAGTTGATGTTCGAGTTGTTATTGTTCGGGTATTGTTTACTTGTTGTTAGAATTGGTGTTCGGATGTTGTTTACTTGTTATTTGAATTGGTGTACGGGTGGGGATGTTGTTTACTTGTTGTTATTTGAATTGGTGTTGGGCTGTTGTTTACTTGTTCGAATTGGTTTTGAGGTGTTGTTGGATTGTTGTTGTTGTTGGTATATAATTGAAGAAGTATTTGATTATTCTTCTTTATCGTCATGTGGGGTAGATTCAGAGATTGAAATTTTGTTCTCCTGTTCTTAGGTAGACATAACAAATCCAATACCAACATATATGATAGTCAGCGAAGTCTAGTAGTCTGTTATCAAGCTACTTGTGTTCGGCTTGAAAAGCTCGTGAGTCGTGAGCAACTTCTATGTAGTACTCCGTATACATTAAGCAATACTTCGTATAAGCTGAGTTATCATGACATATGAGTTAATATTTGATTACTAAAATACTTATAAGAAACTGAAGTTGGTGAAAAGTTAAAAACATTACTGAATTACTATAGCTTAGTTGGTAGGTGTTGCAGGAAGCTAGTTCTCACATAACATTGGCAATTCATTTGTCAAGCTGAGGTACGCATGAGCTCGAATGTGAATTGGTGCAAGCTAAGCCGAGCTGCCTAAGCATGAGCACAACTAAGTGTCTAATGACACCTAATTACCGCCTTGTCAGTTTCAATTTCATAAACAAATTAGTTGAATCATGTGTGCACGGCATAAACTGTTTGAAGATGAAATATATCTTATTTACAAATTCAGACAGCTTATATGTTCCAAGAACATTGTATATATTTTGATGCTTAAATGAACACAAGCATTACAGTAACTACTCCCAATTGGTATTAACTTGATGAGTGTGCTTAAATAACAAGTTAAAATCACACTTTAATCAATTGTTTTTAGTACAGATCTCTTGACAAGAATATAACATCCAAATCTTGTCCACCATCATGTTCGTATAAGAAACAGAAACTTTTTGAACCAAGAGATGTGTTGACAATGTGTAATTAAATGAAGACAACTTGAGCAAAATCGAAACTTCAGATGGTATTCATGGTAAGCAACCTAACTTGCAGCCTCTGGCGACAGTACTCAGATACATGGTGATGTGGAAACCAGCTCAGAACTCAGACGGCAACAAAGAACCTGTGAAGAAGGAATATATTGCCCCTTATAGGGGACTTCAATCGCTTTGTCAGTATGACAGCGAAGATGAATAAGCAAACAGAACATAATAAGGTACAATAGTCTGAACACTTTCCTGATTCTATAGGATATCTAACATGAATATATGAAAAATCACTTTTGAGTTTGTTATATAAATGAATCTCCGTATTTGATTAATCTTCTTATTATCCTGTGGGGTAGTTTCAGAGATTAAAATTTTGTTCCCCTGTTTTTAGTCTTATATGGGTTACAATAGATTTTATTTTGCTAGCAGAAATATCCAGATGTTAGTTGATACAAGAAGTTACAAATCCAAAATCAACCTATGATAGTCAGCCTAGCGAATCTGTTAATGAGCTACTTGTGTTTGGCTTGAGAAGCTTTTGAACTAGTTCCTTTGTAATACATAAAGCAACATAAACTGAGTTTTCATGATATATGAGTAATTATAAGATTAAGTCTTACAAAGTTAGTGAGAAGTCCAATATATAATTGTAATTCTATGGATTTACTGCTTCAAGGTTCATTTTCTTAGCTTTAACATTACGAGATCATTACTCAAGTTGAGTACTCGAGAAGTTAAACTCAAACTTGAATTGGTATATTCATGTTAAAGCAGTAACAAACAAATTTCTTAAGTGCCCTGAACTCATTGCTTATAATAGCAGAAAAATTTATCTCTAGATTTTCCATCTCATGACGATTTAATGATTTACCAATATAATTTATTGTCTTGTAGACTTGATTTATATGATTATGTCCCATGTTCAGAACCTTTAACTACTAATTCCAGGGATACTGCTGGACAGGAAAGATTTCGGAGTCTTATTCCCAGTTACATCAAAGATTCTTCAGTTGCTGTTATCGTCTATGATGTTTCTAGTAAGTGCTTTGTATGCTAATGACTTAATAAGGCTCGTGATGCAGGGGTAATTTTCCTGGAGACCAGAGCAAAAGCAGGATTCAATATAAAGGTATGTTAATTGCTCAGTCATAGTCACTTAATATTCTAGGATGTCCAGTAAAGGGGTTATTTCTTATGTAGAATTTATTTATGACTAAATTAGCAAATATGCACAACTTAAGTATTTTTTTTTTCTATAGCCAGCTTAAGGTGCCAGGATCTCTTTTCTTGCTTTAAATTGTTGGCATTACAAGTAGTAGGATCCTGTGACCACTATTCTGTCTGGCATGTATGCTCAGCTCTAGTGTTGATGGCTGCTCCCATTAAGGGTAACATGTCAGCTCTAATTCTTGTATCTTGTTAGAATTGTTATATACTAATAGCATCAATCTATGTGATTATTCAGGATTGTGAAGTCTAGTGGCCTTTAATAGTTAACATGCCTGGCATGTATGCTAAGTTCTAGTGTTAATGGGTGTTCCTATTAAGGGTCACATTTCAACTCTAATTTCTGTATCTTGCCTGAATCGTTATATACTACTAGCATCAATGTATGGTATTATTCAGGATTGTTGATTCTAGAGGCCTGTAATAGTTAACATTGAGCACTCACAAATCACAAACCAACCCATATCTACAAGAGTTAGAAATGAGTTTCAAATATTTACATGATTTGGTAGCTAATGGCTCAACTTAAAAAAATAGAGAATTTTTAGATTCTTTTGATTTATGTCTGATGTTTATTTGTATTGATATAGTTAGATGTGCACTATCGGAATTATCATGCTGCTATTAACTCGAGTTAGCTTGAATCCTTCCCCTACAATGGACATCAATGCTGCCATCGGCAATGAGGACACCAGCTTGGGTGGAGAAATGGCATTGGATACTGCATCCGGTTCATTCACCAAATACAATGCTGGGATTACACTAGTAGAAAATATATATGTTAGTGTTCATATGTCCATTTTTTTTATTATATATATGTTAGTGTTTATATGTCCATTTTTCTTTTAGTTTTTTAAAGTGTAATATTACAAGTTATTGATGAATATATATGTGTTTTATGTATATTATGATTATATATAACTATTTGGTACAATTTCAGTGAAAAAAATGCAAAAAAGAAAAAAAAAAAATTTAATTTTTTTGGGGCACTTTTGGCATCGGTTTTGGTATAGAACCGGTGCTAAAAGTTTTTTTTATAAATATTTTGGAGACTTTTGGCACCGGTTCTAAAACAAAACTGGTGCGAAAATTCTAGTATTTGGCACCGGTTTTCCATAAGAATCGGTGCAAAAAGTCCTTTTTCCCACCGGTTTTGAACCGGTGCGAAATCTATGGGGTTTTAGCACCCCCGAAATACAACCCGGTTCAAAAGCGGTGGGAAAAGGGGGGTTTGAACTGGTGTAGAATTCGTTTGTTCGCCTAGTGCTAGCTTCCATATTCTTGATCTTTACCGGCAAAGTTAAACTTCACAGATCCTTTTGCTTCTTGGGCATCTTATGTTGAACAAGTGCACTCACTTGATGGGGAAGAGTGATGAGCTCATCATTAAGCTTCCACTTGTTGGTGAGAATATCCTTGAGGAACTTGGAGTATAAAGGAATTTGTGTGACAACTTTTATGAAAGGGAGGTTGATGTGCAAATTCTTCATCACACTAAGGAACTTTGCAAACATGTCATTCAACTTCCTCTCCGCAAGTCGACCGGGGAATGGAATTGGCCCATCAGAATTCCTAGCTTCACTAGGAGTCGAAGTTATATTCTCATGTTTAAGCTTCTTCTTCTCCATACTTCTTTATTTCTCAACAACCTTCTCTTCTTCAACTTCCTTATCTTCACCCACACTCTCTTCTCTTTCCTTATTTTCTTCACTATCCCCCTCCTTAGGAACCTCATAGGATGTACCCGATCTTAATGTGCCTTGAAAGAGTCGAATTTCATGATGTTGGAAGGGTTAGTTTGTGATTGTCCGGGTAAAGTAGAGGGTGATTGGAAAGGGACTCTCTCGGCCAATTGAGCTAGTTGTGATCAACCATCTTGTTATGAGCCTTGACCTCTTGCATTTGTTGATTCATGGCTTGAAGTTGTTGAAGAATTTGGGTTTGAGTAGAATCGGGTTGAGATGCTTGCTCTTTACTCCTTTGAGCCGCTTGATTTTGATTGTTGTATTGGTTTTGATTATTGTGTTGGTTATTTCTTAGGTAAATTCCTCTTGGGTTTTGGGTTTGAAATGGAGGTGGGTTTTGGTATTGAGGATTGGAGTTGTATGATTGTTGATCTTGTTGATTCCATTGTTGAGGTTAGTGAGCAAATCTGGGTGGTGGTTGCCTCCAAGCTACTCCACCGCCACTTCCCCTATATCCATCTTGCCTTGTGTTGTATGCCGCCACATGCTCGGGGCTCAAACCTCCACAATAAGATGTATCATGGTTCGTTCCACCACAATTTTCAAAAGAGAAAGAATTAACTTGAGAAAAGCTTGCCCCACTATTGACACTGGTATTCAACTTTGCAAGCCCTTTCGTCAAAAGCTCAATTTGATGTTGCAATTGATCAACCTTCTCCAATTCATACTTTCCACCTTTCTTTGGTGCATTCCTCCTTCTACCTCCCCAAGAGTAGTTCTTCAATAGCTCTTCAATTGTTGTTTCAACTTGATTTTGGGGGACCTTAATCAATTGTCCACCCGCCCCCGCATCCAAGTTAGCTCTAGACATAGGTTCCAATCCATCATAGAAGAATCTCACGAGCAAGCTTTGATTGTTGACAAGGGTTAAATCGGTCGCTACAATCTAACTCTCAATCAAACAATACTTATACGAACACCCTATAACCAAGTACAACGGCAAATAAAGGTTCGGTCCACGAAGAACGGGAGTAACTGCTAATCAATCCTAAAACCTAAGCTAGTTCGAAATCAATGGAAGATGGTGTTCTAAAATACTACTAATAAGATGAAATAATCAATAAACTAAGACACTAGGGAGAACGGGAATCCGCCTAACCACGGGTAACTAAGCAACAAGGAATCATAGAGACAAACGGGATATGCAAAGACTATAAGTCTGATCAATATCATGTGATAGGAACACAACGGACAATACTAAGCTTGGATTTCTCATGCACTTAACATTACTCGATACAAAATCAAACCACATTCAACAATGAAATACTCAATTCACAATCTCTTGTTCAAATCAAGAATATCATGCAATCAAATTCAGGATTCTAGGTTAGCTACTCCTATTATAATGAATTAACATGCAATCGCATATAATCAATTTAATCACAATCCGTTTATCAAAATCAACCCTCAATTACATAGATTACCTAGGCCGGGTTTCATCCTGAAACCCTAGCTAGGAGACTACTCACACATATTCATAATCAAAGCAATAATGAATTCCAAAAGCATAATAGATACAAACATGAATTCTGATTAAGGAATAATAAAGCTTGATTAATAAACAAGAATGAATAGTACCAATTGTATTGATGCGAATCAATGGAAAAGTTTAGAACTTTGATATCCGTCGTCAATGAATAATACAAAGAATCTTCACAAATCTTGCTTCAAATCAATCCGAGAAACTAAAATCGCTAGAATAATCTTTAAGAAAACTAATGAATCTCTAATACCAAGAATGTTCTCCAATAAATCTCTACAAAGGCTCTCCAAAACTATCTCTAAATCTGTCCCTCAAAACGCCCCTTAAAGTCGGGCCTTATATACGTCTTCTAATTCAGAGAAGTCAAGCGCGCAGTCTACCTTGGATCAGCACGACCGTGCTATATTTGGCACGGCCCTGCTAGCTTGTCAGTAGCTAAACCGGATTTCTTCTTCAATTTGGCACGGCCGTGCTAGAATTTGCACGGCCGTGCATCTTCCTGGCACGGCCGTGCTAAAAATGACACGGTCGTGCTGAATATGCTCTAGCACGGGGCTCATACTGAAACTGACACGGGCACGGGCAACACCTGGCACGGTCGTGCTAATGGCCTGCACGGCCGTGCTGGTACGTGGATACTGACACGACCGTGCTATTGGCTTGCACGGCCGTGCTACCTTGCCTGGGGCTGCTTACTCATAGGCCAACACGAGTGTGCCTATGGTAACATGGTCGTGCTGCCTATGCTATGTAATTAATGCATGGCACTTGAACTTCCTTAACTCCTCGGACTTCGGTCAAGGCTAGCTCAGTTACGCATGAAGGGCTCGGGATCCGACCAAACTCAGGTTATATTACCTAAAAACACATAAAAACAAACTGAAAACTCGTGAAGCACGTAATATAGGGGACATAAGCATAACAAGGTAATAATCGGCCAAAACGGCCCCAAATACATCCAAAATCATCCCGAAATATGCTCTAAAGCGCGCCCTAAAGTGCGCTTGTCAAAACCCCCCAAGCTACCCTTTTGCTAGTCCTCGAGCAAAAACCAAGGGAAACACAAACAAGATCAAATAAACTCTGCCATTGCATATAAATCAACTTAAGCACAGAATGAAGTCAATGGATTCTACTTAAAACAACCATGCACGGAATGAAAACTCACTCAAACAAATAACGAGACACACAATCCAAGGTATTGTTGATCAAAATGCAAACAAGACTTAAACCAAGCATAGAGAACAAGGAAGTCATGCTTCCCTCTAAACCCAACCAAACCAGCCACGTCCTCCCCTTTTGCTTCAAATCACCACCCTAATTTGCTCCTCATGATTCCTCGAAGGAATCGGAAAAAGTAATATTTTGAGGAAATAATAGGTATCCCGACATCTCAATCACGCATAATCTTTCCATAGGGTTGAAAAGAATCTCCCTCCACCGTTTGAAATCTAACACCTCTAAAGTCTAAGGGTCTTAAAGGGTTGAATGTATTGGCAATGGGTAAGGTAGGTGAAAACAATTTAAAATGTGGGGTTGATTCCAAAACGAAGCGCAAGAATCACAATTCTCGAAAACAAAAATTCAAAAGATGTAATTCACATTCCACAATCTCAATGATTCACATTCTTACACATCCCAAATTATCCATATAATACACACTCAAATGACCTTTTTCAAACTTCAAAACTTTATTTATGTGTCCTTGCCTTTTTCATAATTCGGACGACATTTCTCTTCTTTTTTTTTAATTCTTTTTCTCTCTTTTTTTTTCTTTTTTAGCAAAATGACTTTCACATTACATATTTACAATTAGGCTCGCTTTCACACTTGCTCAAACCAACTATCAATCATTATTTCTTGATTAGTAAACAATAAGCTCAACAAACCTATCTAGGTAAACGCTTCACAACTAAGGGTTGGTAAAACATTGGCCATCGGGTTTGTAACATGGGTAACCAAGAATGGAATTAAAGGCTCAACACGGTTAGCAAGTAAGATGATGTAAAAAGAAAATTAATTTGTAACAAACAAAAGGAACAAAATAAGAAAAATGAAAAAGGTGCCCTCTTCCTCCCTTAAAAGAGTTAAGTCGGTCTCGGGAGCTACTAGTCAACACAAAGATCGAAAAACGCGTAATCAAGGATCAAAATTTGCCACTCAACAAGAATGATGAAGGCTAGAACAAATAAACCTCACGAGTTCTAACAAATAAAGCAACTACCAATCAAGGGGATCAAATCCACAACCGGGAAGCGACTCCATCTTACCACAGTCCAAAGGCCTAGAGTTTCACATGACGAAAGTGTTCTATCCACCTACCCTTCGCCTGGACTCATCTACATTGATCAACAGTAGAATCAAACTGTGTATTCATCACTGGCTTAAGTGGAAATAGACATTCCATACACATTCATTCACATTTCGAATCCAACATGAACAATATTCCAAAATTTTGCAATTAGACAATTTTATTATGATCCAAAAACATAGGAAAAGACTATGAGGCATATCATATAAGCTAAACCACACATCCTCATAATAGAAGCTTTTCCTATCTATCACATACAT